TATAGGACATGAACTTTATCTCAGAAGTAGGTATGATTTAATTGATTTTAAGTTGTAATACCGGCGGTTTTAATAATCAAATCAGCTACTAAAACGTAACAAATATGTAGGTTAGTGAGCCATACCTACTTTTTTTTTCTCGAGTTGAACTGGTAACACGCTACCCATTAGGTCAAGATCGTGTCATCACTAATTTCAACTTGCATTGCCATCAGCTTTCAGTCCCCCCATGGAGGACAGGCTATCGGACGGAATTCAGACTAGGAAGAAGGCTTCTGCAGGCCAGGAAGACCAAGTAGACGCCGTACTTGAGACGTCAAAGTTCAAGACCCGGGTCAGTTCAGTTCAAAAGTTATAAAACATTATCTAAAAAAAAAACAGTTTCCGGGCAATTAGCAGAAGCTGCCAGAGATCAGTGCCTACCTACAGATCGATGTATTTGCGACAGCTTTCAGCTAGGTAGGCACCTTGCATACCTAATGCAGCACGTGACAATGCACAATGCACATTACATGATTTGGCGCGCCTGCTTAGGTATACCGCGGCGGAAAGAGAGCGTAGGTGGTAAACGCACCGCTGCCCTATCGCAATAAGTCGTGTATCAATCACGTGTTTCGTTTCAAGGCAGTCAATATGGCTGCATTCAGTGAAGCAGTTTCACTGCACCGTGCACTGGCGCGGTTGGTGCTCACATCTGGCATGAAAAATTACCAATACCTACCTATAGTTCCCTAGGTTCTCCATCTGCCATCTGCCCACGGTACGTTTCGCGGAGTTTGGAGGCGTTACCCAGAAGCGTAGGGGAGACTGGGGAGAAGTGGGACATTATTTTGATGTCAACTTTGAAAAATGGTAAAAAATAGAATATTTAAGATTTAAGTAAATGGATTGCATTTACTGGTAAACGGTTTATTTCTTCTTCATTCTTTACTGTTTTTATGAGTGTTTGTTCACGTGTTACTTCTCAAATTTAAATTTTAGGAAAGGTTGACAATGGGGTGAACTGGGACACGTCCAGGAGAAGTGGGACAGATCATGGGGAGAACTGGGACTGGTCGAGAAATGTGATTTAAATGGAATACAATAAAAATTTGATGACCCATCCATCACGAAGATGAAGGTGTTTTTAAAGTTGACACCTAAAGAAATCACCCCGATTATCTTTTTTGAATTACACTGACAGCACTGAGTATCCTGGAAAAAATTCCCATGCATTTGCATGCGGGAGAACTGGGACAGGGTTTAGGCACGTTGTCCCAGTTCTCCCCAAGTCGTCATTTTCATAGAGATCTTATATACATACAGATCTTATATATGTATATAAGATCTCTATGGTCATTTTTATTTCAGCTGCTCTCCCACACAAAAAGTATAACAGATACATAAAAAAGTGTTTCTGCACAATTAAGATGACTTCACTGATATCCAAAGGTGAACGGCCTGAACATTTCACATCGCTGAATAAGCGGCAAATTGAATTAGAGTAAAATGCCAAAAAATCACATTTTAGACCCTAACTCAATATCTCAGAGACAGGCAACCGGAAAAGGAAACCGCTTGGTTGTGACGTGCCCCGACTAAATTCATGAGAAAATATGCAAAAACAAAATTGTTTGTCCAATCGGTCACTAAGATATTGAAGGTGTCCCACTTCTCCCGCGTCCCAGTTATCCCCACTCTCCCCTACGCCACGCAGACAGGGAGCAGCGCGCCACTAACGCCAATGGCGCGCCGATTCCGCCGCGGACGTCTGCAGCCGACACACATTACGTAAGTGGCGCAGGACGGAGACACATGTCAGCTTCAATCGCGGTAGCCGGGTGACGGGCGTTTCTGACAAACCTGCCGCGAGGGGGTGGGAGATTAACACCGCCTCGGACAGGGCCCGGTCAACATCGGGAGTCAACAGCGATCACAGCCGGTCAACAGGGCGCGTTAGCAGAGCGCCCAGGTCTGTTTGACGTCCACGGCTGGATTAAACGCGCTGTCACAGAGGCGTCAATCGCGTGTGACGAGATAGCAAAATGACCTTTAGCACCGTCTGCCGCAGAACAAACTCGCCGTAAATGAGATAGCGAACAGAACAGCCGAGGCTAGGTCACCTTAAAGGTAGTGTGCCACCTTTGAAAGATTTCCCATTTTATTTTTCCTAGGATAAGAAGCTTCTGTTTTTACCTAATATCGCAAAAAAATCCAAAATGGGCCTGGAATAGTGCCTTTTTCGCCTAAAAGTTTTTCGGTTTTTAGATATGTATAACAACTGTAGTGGGCTCACCTGCAAACAGGCGTCGGGCAACAATCGCGAATGCGGCGCACTTGTGACAATAAGCAAAGGTCATTATAGTGTTACGACCATACGACGTACGGGAATGAGTTATCAGCTGTCTAATCGTAGACAACACAATGTCGAGCCTTAAACTGTAAGCCCGTATTGGTATTGTTTCTTTTATTTGGCTGTCGAACATTATTTATGGTTTGAAATATGATTTTATGTAAAATAATTGATATGAAAAAGCCGTCTTATAAGTTATGACCCCATTTCACCACACGCAAGTGGCAGAAATGACAATGATCAGCTGACGCATTTTTCTTGGCCGAAGTCAGAGCGCGCGGCCCGACGCACCACGCGTATTGGGAAATTCCGACCTCGACGAGCATCAGAAGCCACCTAACAGGCGTGTTCGAAACCGCAGGAGATGATGATGAACGGGTTTATCGAAACTTGATTGGATGAGCATATCGGTAATAGCGATTTCAGTGTGTGCATTTATTGTTCATAGTGGTGTGAAATGTGGTTGGGGTACGACCGACAACCCGTCGGGGCGAATTTCGCACTGGGGTACTCAAAATTTGAAGAATTTAAGACGTTTCCATGAGTTTTGAAGGTATGGATAAGTTCTAAAAATCCGGTTCTCCTTATCTGGGCCATTAACTCCATACGGTCCAAGAAAGCTGGCACACTACCTTTAAACGGCGGATGTTGTGGTCAGGGATTTTCGGTGACTTTTACAACGATCACTTCCGAGAGCAAAGCACAACACGATGTCATTCGCTGTTATCTTGTCCCAAGGCGGAGCTGAGCTAAATTGCAATATGTGCTGTAAACATGCGTCATAAGAAGTCTCGGCTGTTAGTAGAAATTAAATATCAATGAGCGGGGAAACCCACGGATAGCTCCTCCCTGCTATCGTATTCATGTCACAGATGCGGCGAATCTGATCGCGTACCGGTTCATTATATATTACTGACCGGGCCGACGAAATTATTTGGAAACGAGGTTTGCAAAATTGACGGAGGCCCGAGTGCGGAGCACGAGGGCCGGAGTCAAATTTTGCAAGCCGAGTTTCCAAATAATTTCGTACGGCTGAGGTCAGTAAGATTTTTCCTACATGCCGCATAGCTAAGTAGTTTCGACAGGTTTTGCCAAATTTTGGTGACACTTTTATACAATTGTTTTGTCCATAATTTCCTAATAGTGATTGCGCTACTGCTGTGGAAGGAAATTTATAGAAGAAAATGCATCAAAATACCTTACTTCAAAAAGAATCGCGTCTGAAAATATCAACTCAGAATGGCACAAAAACTGGATATCCAAGGAACATTAACATAAATAATTTGCCACGACATAAGAAGAAGAAGGCATAATATTCCTAGTGATTAAACGTGAATTTTCCAGTGCTCTTGCAAGAATCTTTTCTTTATTTATGTAATCGTACTTTGTTGATGCCCTATGGTATGGCTAAACTTTCGTGAAATACATTATATTTTCCGTATTTTACATGTTTGTTTCGAGGCAAGGACTACAACTGTCAAATAATAACGCAAAAACTCAGGCCCAAGGTATCTGTGGACATATCAAACGAAAATAAGACAACAAGCGATAACGGATTTCGATTAATTAATAGGCGCATATCTTACCATAATTTCGGCTTTGTAACCAATATTAAATATTTCAAAGCCCTTGATAAGCAGAGCAGATATTTTTTACCAAAAAATGTTAGTTTTCTAACTTAACGCGGCAAACATCATGTAATAATGATGTCAGTCATATATTCCCTGTCAATTATACCTCTGGGCTAATGCGATAAACTGTAGTTTAAAGGTCATCGCCCTGGGCAGTAAACCCGGGCAGTAAACTTTTGTTTCCTGCCCGGCCTATCATATAACATGGCATTTTGACACCGATAGTTTCTTGGTCATAGTTTTACTGCCCGGCTCGTGCTGTGCTTAAGACATACCCCGGCATGTAGGAAAATTTAGTCATGAACATTCTCCGACCAACGCATGGTATCGCGTGTCTTATTCCAAATTGATCTGTGCTTCCAGTACGATATTCGGCCCAATGATGCCGTAGATGCCGTAGGGCACTGCACTGACTCCGTTAACGTGCCTGATAACTTTTCTTTCGCGACTAGCAATTAGTATATTCAAAATTTCGTGTCACAGCACAGGCACTCACTCGTATCACACGCCCAACCTATGCGCGGCAAATCGGCAGTGAGTCGCTGTCCAGTAAGCTTTCATAAATCAGAGCCTGCTCTCATTTTCCACCGGCCCCGTCGATTCGGGACCATTTATCAAGTCGGTCGCGTGCTCAGAAATCATTCTTTTGCATAATGTCCAACCTAAGCTGCAGCCTGCAGTGACAAATTGATGCGGACCGAGACGAATTCAAATTATGTCATCGCGTGGTCAGAGATCATCAAGGAACATCTACGATCATCGTTAGGCACCACCTTCGAAAGGGAAGATCTTCGAAACGAATTCGACGCAGTGGAACCTTATAAATGATCTTTTTTTTTGCGTGGACTGAGCGAGCATATGCAAAACACCACATTTTCGTCACCCTGTCGAAAAAGTAATAGTCACGTCGTGTTTTCAGACCCCATTCCTCGACAAGGAAGTTCGAGAAAGTTGAAAAGCAGATGTAGACGTAGGTGAAACATATTCCACAATCCACCCTTCCGCTGTAGAACCACCAGCACACAAAACGCGTCAGCTCCCATCACGATTTTCTTTTCCACACAATTCATTCACACGATGAGGACTTCAAACTACATATGTGAAGTCACATATTTCCGTCACAATCTTATGAAACACATCACACCTCTGTCCTCCAAGGAAGGGAGAGGCAGCAGTCAGACAAGGCGTCAGCCCGGCATGTGACCAAACTCCCCTCCAAACTACCACTGAGCTCACCAGAGCCGGGCAATCAACCAGAAAAACTACAACAAACGCTTTACCTCGTCCGACCGAGCTTGACTTGTCATCAACACGCATCGAAAACGGCGAAACAGCTGGTAGAACCACACAGTGATCTACGCAGACGCCAACGAGAGACGCCAATGAACCCGGATGTAGCGTTTCTCGCGTAGTTCACCGCCAAAAATACCCAAACAGACCCATTTGTAAGATTATCGATATCAAAACACAAGACAGCGCCTACAAGCAAACACAAATATTACCAAACCACACTGCCTTTTCGCTTTGTCGTCCGTTGTAAGTCTTCATGGCCCGTTTCGTATCGCCGGAATTAGTGTGTGAGTGTGGAAGATTTGAACCTGTCAGTGCACTTCGCCCATACTTAGTGCTATACCGGCTCAAACCGTCCAAACATTCACTGGCCAAGGCAGCGAAGAACGCGACCGCGAAACCCACTCCAAGTTGCCACACCTCTTGCAGTTGACCCGGCGCATATCGTTACCCTTCTCTTCATTCAGTCTGTCCTTCCCCTCCCAGATCACATTTCACGAGACAGCGGCGACTGCCTCGGACCGATCACAAACACTTCGCCCTGACAAACACCACATCGCACCGCAGCACAGTGGGGATTTTTCCGATCTAGCGCCTATTAATTCAAAAAATATTTTTTGGATTTTTGTTTATTTTTTGTGTCAGTAGGGCTAAGAAATGTCTGAATTTTTCATATATGGCATTGTTTTATCTGTATGTCCACAGCAAAACTAGGAAAAATGCGCCCAAAGTTCACACTCATGCGTGATTACTCAATGGGCTCAGCAAGGCAAGAAAGTATAGCTCAATTTCATTGTCCTGTCCTGTTGGTTTTAATCTTGCGAGGTCTTAAAGTTGCATATCGTCTGAAAGGCACCTTTATTAGGAATGGAATGGCAAACAGAAAATATGCCACAACCTTACTAAGGTCACAAAAATGCCCTTTACAAAAAACCCTTACAAACACCATATTGAAGGAATGGTATTCTAAATAAATGTAGGAAATCAACAATGTTCTCCACACTTTTCCACTCCGAAATATATCCTATCGAATTCGCCACTTTCTTCTGCACAAGACAACGCCTAGTTTGGCTGCCGAAACTTGCCTGAACACGGAATATTCACATTAGAGTATCTTAACACCCCACTCGAGGAGCGCTAGGGCAAACAGCACGATATAGGTATGTTCCGGACATAGGCGAATAATTTTACTTCGTGATTTATATGATGCATATTTTCTGAGACACATTCATTAGGAATAGGATGACAAGCGTAAATTATACATACCGTAACCTTATTAACCATCGCACTTGTGGGGAGGGGGAGGGGGAAGGGGTCGGATAAAACCCCATGGTTTTCCGCAAATTACTCGCGCAAAAAGCGGCCGATCGTGCCGAAACTTTCGGTACCCTCGAGATCATCAATTTTACATCTAACCTAAAAATTTCATGACTCTGACCCAACTGACCTTTGACCTGTGGCATATTTCTCGAGACCATGTTTGGCCGGAATCGCGATTCGGCGTATGCCAGCTCACATTATCCGCGGTTTCCAGTCTTTTTGTGGTTTTAAACGTTCAAATATGTGAAATGATGTTGTTGCCATGCATAATGGTGGGTGTCAAGGTCACGTGAAGGTCAAGTCAAGGTCATTGACTTTTTGATGACCTTGGTTCACTTTTTCGAGTTTTACTTGTTTCTAGGGTAGTTTTTGGTGCTGATTTCGATTTTAGCAGCCATTTGAATATTTACGAAGTAGTTCTAGTGCCTTCGTTCCATGTTACGAAGCTATCAGTAGTAGGTGACACTTCTATGGATGGCCGGCAGGACGCCTACTAATTGATCTAACCTGACCTGACCCGACCTGGCCTAAATGCATAAAGACATCGTCTGTGATCAAAACTAACATGAAATTCGTGATCAGCACCCCAAAATACCCCGTAACACCCTAACTTTGCGAAGTTTCAAGAGGTCTCGATTTCCCAACTTTAGTTGGGTCATTAAACTGACTTGGAAAGTCAGCTTATGACCTTGGACTTTGAAATTGGATATATTCGGCCTAATTTCGTCATAGGCAGCACGCTTGACTTTTCCGCGAAGCTCTAGCTTGATCAGGGGCCAAACGGCTGAGCGGGGGGTCCAATTGAACCCCCTATACTATGTTGATTATGCACATTTACAGGTAAAATTCTCACCAGGACACACCAGCCAACATCTGTGCACAATCTGGCTACAATTCTACCTATGATTTGCCCTCTACGAATAAATACGTGCTAGATCGGAAAAATCCCCACTGTGCGCAGGTCAGAGCTCCACAAACATCGCAACGTAGCCCAGCCTAACATACGGTCACCACTTCTGTCGATGAAAACACGTAAAACAACAAACACTTGCAAACCACCACCACAATGCCCCCATAGCCCGCGTTTGGCAAACGATTTCTTTTGCCAGTCGGCGAATGTCAACTGCATCCAACACTTGATGTCAAACACACTTGAGACACACAACCGTTCTTCCACGAGAATATGCCGCGAAAAAAGTCGCCCTCGCACGTGGCTTTCACCCACAGAGAGCTACCACGTGGCTTCAATGATTCATGCTCAGCATGAATCGGTACAGTTAATGAGGCGATCGAGTTCAAACGCCCGGGGCAACTCATTCCCGTTACAGTCTGATCAGTCTCAAAATCGCGGGATGTCAGCCCTCACTGACTAACTGTGGATGACAGGTGATGGGGCTCTGCAGAAGCGAGCGACGCGACGCTGTCAGTATAGTGACACGGGCGGCTGGATCTGCAACGACTTTTCAGCGTTAATCACATCCACTGACGCAGTCTGCCCGTGAGCTCATGCCGTCAAAACGTCGTACAAATGCCGCAGCGTTCCATTACGTGGCTGGTCTTCAATCCCTTCACTTGTCAGGCTTATCCGTGCGCCCCACGGCACGATGCGAACCAGCGGACATCCCTCCGTTCTGTTCACTGATATACAGCGATCGCTTCATCCCTGCCAGCTTCCCAGACCAGCTCATAACGACAAACGACCATCACCTCTGACTTTTCCACCAACACTTCTGAGCGTACCATTCCAGCCTAACAATCCCGCTCGCTGTAATCATCACCAGCACTCGACCTACGCAGAATCCCGCGGTAGGAGCTGACACACTCCGCCTCACTCAACTGCCGCACACTCGGCGGCACAAAGCTCTTCAAACCTGTATCGTTGCCGATCTGTCTCGTTACTGATCAGCTTTGGATCCGGCTGCTGCAGCTCGTGGAAATCCACTCATTCCGCTCGGCGTACTTCAATCACCCATCTGCCCGTCCAGCAGGCAGACAGGCAGGCAGGCAGGCAGGCAGGCAGGCAGGCAGGCAGGCAGGCAGGGGCTCTCCGCGCTCGACAGCCATCAAAGAGAGGCCCTCGTGCCGACATATTGGACATTATTAGAACTGCGAGACTTCTTGACGTGGTGATCATACCACTGTCATCCATTACTTCCACCGACTCAACTTCTCTCGATATATATCAGCGCCCGTCCGCTCTCACTTCCACCGTCTGACCCTCTCGCTTCCTAACCTTCTTTATGTATCCTTCACCCGTCAGCAATCACTTCCATCAACTGACCTTCCCTCTCCCCAACTCTCTCGATGTAGTCTGTCTCGCCGAGTGCGCACCCATCACCGGGAGACCCTGTCGCGGCTGTCGCGGCGCTGGTGGCGGTGTCTGTGTCGGTCCCGGTCGTCCCGCCGGCGGTCCCTCCTGTCCCTCCGGTGTCGGGACGGGCTGCGGTCCCTCTCCCGACCGCCCGGCTCCCGCCGACGGTCGTCCTGCAGCCGCTGGAACGGGTTGTGGTCGAGAACGGGACGCTCCCGGTGACCGCGCACCTTCTTCACCTGTTGGAGGATAAGGCAACAGGTCAATATTTGTGATAGAAATAAACATATTTCGGTCTCTAGCGGGTCCTAAATTCATGGTCCCTAACAAATATATACTCCTGTATCTGGAATCTTCCATTTCCTTTCTGTCCAAATATTCAGCTCGTGTGTAAAAAAGCGAAACAATATCTCTCAAGACATGAGGTGGCGGTAAGTTACCGCAGTCTGTCAGGTTACTGTTCTACGGACAGATTTTATCATCTAGGACTGAAAATGAGAATTCCAACGCTGGTTAGGATCACAACAAACAACGCGCGATGCCCGCACAGGACAGTTATTATGTTTGGGTGCGTCAAACATATTTGACCACATGTCAACACAAGACGTTATTGGTTCTCCAGGATGCACAAAGGCCTACCGAATGTAAGTGCGTAGCCTAATGTCTACATACAGGCGAGCAATATGAGTGCCACTGCTGTATCTCAAGCAAGAGCTGTGCTCCGTGATAAGACGGATGTGAATCCCTACGACTGAGACTTGTTTTTGTCAAACCGAGAATAGCACCTGAAGATAGTTGACAGCCTACGGCGACTCCGGCTGACAGCGTTTCACCGTAATACAGTTGTATACCTGTTTTCCACTGCTTGGTGGAGTGGGTACGTAAGGCACTATTGGTTATCGTCAGATTGACAAACATTTGTATGGAGTGTCCCAATTTTTTAAATCCATTCTACGCATCATCCGACTTGCATTTGTGTTCACCCAACACCACTCCACAGCTTTTTCCGTTGTTGAAGAAGCTGAGAGCTTCTTCACCAAGAAGCTGCTGAGAGCTGAAGCTGGAGCTGAGAGCTTCCCTCGCCCCCCCCCCTGCTCCCCTTCATCCTTGTCTGGCTACCCTTCTCCCTCCCCCTTCCTTCTCAAGACGTACCATTAGCTAATCACATCCCGAGCTCCTCCATGCAAAAATCAATCCACCCACACCCTGCCCCGATCGCCAAGGTCAATAGGAGTCACGACCTTTGTCATAAAGTTATCCAGATGGGCGCCTTTCTGACGGATCGTCGAATAAGGACGTTAAGAGACGCGATATCTCATTTTAAAACGCCGCCAGATCATGGGAGATTTCCTGTCCGAGCGCTTTAGCAGCGAGATGCATTGAATCATCTGCATGGTTATTGAGTAGTTTAATTCTATTCCTTGATTTAGAAGAATGGCTCCTTCCGAAAGCCGTTTGAGTAGAACATTTGTTTGCGACTATTCCAAACAAGGCGCCATAATTGGTTGATTCAAACAAATGCCTATAGAGGCTGCTCAACTATCGATTTGTGTTCAGTCTGTTGACAATTTACGCCGGATTTCCAGTCCAAAGGCACAGTGCCGACTCAATTAAATCAAGTCATTAGTGCCGATTGCCGAGGTCTAGCTGCAATCATGCGCTTCGACCCGGCCGGCTGATAAGGCTGAATGTTGAAACGGTAACCCGAGCTGCAGTACTGGGCGGTCGACAAAGCAGAAAACACAGCCTACTCGTAATTGCATTAGCAATCCGGGTTGCCACAGAACATAGCGACGAACTTACTGAGCAACTGCACGGAAGAGCTTTAATGAACGTATAAATATAGGACTTAACTGAAGCAGGAAAGGCGAAGCGAGGCGATAAGGAATGTAAGTTGTTCCTGTTCTGTATAAGGGTTACATGGAACGCCAAGCGCGCACAAGGTCATTAATAATATATACTAATGTATCCACTAATAAAGGCGGTGTTCAGAAACACACTAGCATTCCAAATGAGATGGCAGTCGAAAAACGTTTCAACTATGTTTCCAGCTTGCAGCCACTTGTATGTAATTGCAAATGAACCAGTTTGTTCCGACTTGCCACTTGTTAAGGTCAAACAACTATTGATTTATGATAAAAAAAATGAAGAAAGGTGAGTTACAAATGACTTCAAAGTATGTAATTAGCTCGAATACCGGAGCAACACAAATAATACACGTATCCCACCCATGCAGAGGACAATACACATATTTTGTATCGTATTTCAAAATTTTCAAAAGCCGCTCTCTCTCTCTCTCTCTCTCTCTCTCTCTCTCTCTCTCTCTCTCTCTCTCTCTCTCTCTCTCTCTCTCTCTCTCTCTCTCTCTCTCTCTCTTCCACTCCACCCACCCGTCCAGCGTCCAGCTCGTCATTGTACTCGTCCAGCTCCTCCCGTCGTCGCCGCTCCTCTTTGTCCCTCTCCCGCTCTCTCTCCAGGCCGGGCCTCTCTCCAGACCACGTGGTCACTGCAACAGACAGGCGCACGCGTCGCGTGGTTGGGCAGGCAGATGAGTCACGTGCTCACTCCACTAGACTGGCGCGCAGGTCACGTGGCCGCTGCGCTGGATAAGCAGATGGGTCACATGTTGAGATGCAGTAAGTACTCACCTCTAAGGCGAGTTCTTATACACAGGTGGAACGGAAATAATGCTGAGCTGATTGAAAACACATATCTACAGCGAACTTCTAAGCAAACAACAGATCTAAAAATAGGACGTTTTAATTTGTCTTCAAAGCCTCCTCATTTGCCGTCCCCATCAGGCCTTACGTCGGTCAACAGCGATGGCGCATTGGCCCGTCAGGATACGCGACTCAACCAGGCAAACGCTACCGTCTAAAGTTCTTTTACTGGGGACAAATTCACAGAAACAGGGATAAGCCATTCAGCGATCTAAGGATAAGCTTAACATTTTACGTCTTACAATATGATTAACCCGCGCACCGACGGGGGTCTGCGCCAACTTAGTACCGACGGGGGGGGGGCGGATGACCGCCCCCCCCTGAGATCTCGAGAACGAAGCAAGATAGCGACAAGCGGTAAACGGCATCGGATACGCACGGTCAAGATCTACAATTTTTACTCAGGTCATTTTCAGGTCAGGTCAAAGATGACGTCACAGGGGTCGAAAAAGTCAAAATGGCGGCGCTAAATATGGAGAGTTTTTCTCGAATAACTTTCGAATTAGTCAAGATAGGAACAAACTAAGGGCATCATCGTGATCCTCTCGTCAATCCGCATCGAATGATATATATGTTGACCTCGAAAGGTCAAGGTCAAAGGTTGACCTCAGGTCACGTGACCTCGAGGTCATCATGTATATCATTCGATGCGTCTTGACGAGCTGAACACAATGAGACCATCCACGCGTCTGTATCTTGTTCATGTACGGAGTTATTGGCCAAAAACCTTTGGTGACCTTTGATGACGTCACATGACCTCACAGCTGCCCAACAGCAAAACAGACCTCAAGGTAGTGAAGGTTGATCGTATATGAAGTCATGTATAGTATATGGGGCCATTCCGACCCGTTTTAGTGGTAAAAACAGGGAGTTGATTTTTCCCCCATTGACTTATAATGGGGAGGTCGCGAAATTGACCTGACCTTAGGTCACCGATATCAAAATTCCGAGATAAACAAATTGTAGCTACTAATGACCTAATAACATCCTCCGACTTTCAAAGGCCTCCGACATCTACTGTAGCTCTGGCACGGTGACAAAGTTGCAAAAAAGTGACTTGAGGTTGGGTCATTCAAAGTGACCTGGTGACCTGACCTTGAAAGGTAGGAGGTTCAAACTTGCACACCATGTGTAAAATTGATAAGGGAATAGTCATACCAAATTTCGCGGCGCGTAGCGCCGCGGTTTTCCCGCTATTCGCGAAAAACCTCAGGGGGGGGGGGCGGATATCCGCCCCCCCCCGTCGGTGCGCGGGTTAGGAAGAGCTTACGCGAGCCGGATGACAAACACAAGAAACAACTACTGTACTTGTTTGTTTGGTTGAATGGTTACCTTGGTTACCCCACTATTGATTCTTTTATATTTATTCAATTTTAGTTTCCCAGCACATATTGTTTGGTACAGACAAGCTAGTCGTTGAAAGTACGGAGAAGTGACCTGTCTGTGCAACACAGACTTCCTCCGATTGATCAGTAAATCTGTCTCCAATCCCGCCCACTTGTCGTGCCAATATCTTCCCCTGGAGCACCTCATAAACAGCCCCGCCGCGGCGCTATCTCCGGCTGGAGTCCCTGCCGGGAAACCGCTCCCCAGGCGTTATCTGCCCTCTGAGACGCACCCAGTGAACGGGATACACGGGCGGAATTGGTCGTAGACGCCCGTATTATCTGTGCTCCAGGCAGTGCCCGGCCACTGCTGAGGGCCCTCACTGGGCCTTTAATCACTACGGCGAATCCGGAGCCGAACTTTGTACAGATTCATGTGACAAGGCGTCGTTAGTTAGCACTTGTCAAACGGCGGTGGTCTGTCTACTAGTGAATACCTTTTGACGAAGATCTGACAGTCAAAAAGTTAATGCTTTATACATCCAGCGCGAGACAATTTTCACGTTAAGAAATTCATAAATTCGGCATCAGGAGCAGGAGTAGGAGCAAACAACAAAAGAGCAGGAGTTATTGAATTAAAAGTCGTCTAAATGCCAGTAGGGGCACCTTTGATAAATGTCTTTATAATGTAAAACGAAGTGCGACAGTGCAAAAATCTCGACATCATATCTGCCCTGCCAAAATTATGGACTTTGTTACAAAGAGCGATGCGGACAAAACACATCCGGCTGAAGGCACTGTCACACATTCTAACTCACACACTTCCTCCCTTTCGAGTGCTTTGTTGACAAATCCTAACCGAACTCCACAAAAGGAATAATCCTGCAATCAATGGACAGCCAGCAAAGTTCGCCTCAAGTTCTGCCTGAAGTTCTTCCCGTATTGAGTGACAGCTAGACATTAAATCAACTGTAAAAACATGCAACTAGACTTTCGTCAGAGAATATAGAGGAAATTACTGGCAAATTATCAGCAAAACATCACTGAATTACCACCGCACTACTAACAAACTATCGGCGACAGTATCAGCGGAGCACCTTCAATTAAGGAGGGGGGGGGGGGGGCACTGCCGACTTTTGGTCCCATTCTTTCCCTGCAACGCCCATAGGGCTTATGTTAAAATGGCAGAATCAAGGGAGGGGGCACGGTGCCCCCCCCCCCCCCCGTTCGGCCCCTATGATCGACGAATTATCATTGAATTACCAGCGAACTACAACTAAAACAACGGCGAACAGCAAACAAAACAATCAGCAAATCAACAACCAGAGGATAATCAGCGAAATACAAACGAATTCCAAGCCAACTACCGGCAAATTACGATCTCATAACCAGCAAACTACCAGCCTGGAACCAGAAAACCACTGGTATCGCTAGGAAACCATTCGGGTTGCACCAGCGGTGCACTAACACGACAAGCCGGACACAAAACAGAACGAGGCCGCAGGGACCGAGCCGCCGGCCGTTCCAACCACCCGTATGCATGCGCTGTGGGTGTGTTGGGGTCAGAGGAGCCCTTAGCTGTCCGCCAGCGAGACATTTATGCAGACTGGGTGGACAGGGTGTTGAAACGATGGGGAAGTGACAACAGTGGTAATTTCCGCAGAGACTATGTTACGACTTGTTGGCAGGTGCATGACACGGAACGTGTGTAAAATAGAAGCCGAAGTTAGAGATGGTAATAATTATTATTCGTTGGATCATGTTGGACCTTACCAAATTTGACATGGTATTGTTATCTAAGAAAACGATTTGTATGAAGTTTAAAAGGGTCACATCTAGACGTATTGACAAAAAATAAAATACATATGAAACACGAAGCATACCGAAAATGGTTGAATTCAAGACAGACCTGCCCGTCATACGGGCTGCGAGTCGCCCGTAACTTAGACCAGGGCCGATCAATACAGGTGTCAGCTCAATCGATTCCGTCAATCAACATAGAATAAACAGTGAAAATGGAAGAAAGGGGCAACCTGTTCCATATTTCGGTTTACAGCGTGTCCACTCCAGATCACATGACACAATGTTGGGATGGTGAGTAAATTGGCAAAATCGTTTGATTAAGATTAACATGCAAATTAAATAATAACGATGATTTGGGATAAATCAGTAATTCAGTCTCTCCCTCCCTCCTTCCCCCTCTCTCTTTCTCTCCCTCTTCTCTCTCCTCTCTCTCTCTCTCTCTCTCTCTCTCTCTCTCTCTCTCTCTCTCTCTCTCTCTCCCTCCCCCTCCCTCTTCTTCCCTCTCTCTCTCTCCTCTCTCTCTCTCTCTCTCTCTCTCTCTCTCTCTCTCTCTCTCTCTCTCTCTCTCTCTCTCTCTCCCCCTCCCTCCTCCACTCACCATCTCTTCCATATCCGCTCAGTCCAGCTCCCGAGGTGAGGAACGCCAGCGCATCCCCTCCCCCTCCTCCTCCGGCCGCGGCCGGCGCGGAGGACGGCCTCCTCCTCCTGTCGTCCTCAGAGGAGGAGGAGGACGAGGAGCGACTCCTCCTCCTGTACTGACGCTCCTGATGTCTGTGATGAGGACGCTCAGACCGCTTGGTAGGCGAAAGCCCAGAGTCCTGAGACCCAGAACGCCAGGAAGGCTTCGTAAAGGCGGCGGGTCGATCTGGAGCTGGAGAGGCCGGTCGATTCGATGGCTTGGTTCGCTCTAATGATTTCGATCTGTCCGACGATCTTGAGCTGTCTGATGACTTTGATTTATTTGATCTTTCCGAAGATTTCGATCGGTCAGATCTTTCGGAGGATTTACACCTGTCTGATGATTTCGATCTTTCGGAAGATTTCGATCTTTCCGATGGTGGGGAGAACCTCTCCGAGGAAATAGACCGACTTCCCGGTGCTGAGACTTCTCCCCGGTCGCCCAACCCGCGACTCTTGTCTTTCTTGTGCCTGTGTGAGTCCCTTTTATGTCTCTCCCCATTGAGCGATTCCACATGTTCAGACTGTGCCTTTGTCGATCCCGAACATGCTGAACTCCCAACTGACGACTTCGAGTCCACTTCAGACGACCTAGCACTGTCCGACGGCGCCTTGGCTTTGTGTTCCTTCTCCCCATTTACCACGTGTTCCTTCTGCGGGATCGGACCGGCCGGGGCCGAGGCCAGCGCGGCACCGTCGCCTGATCCGCAGTCCTGCAGTCCATCCGGTGTCACCAGAGGCATAGAGCGGCCGGGCGGACGCGCCGCTTCTGCCGCTGTCGCGTCGCCGTTCGCCACCGCTGGGTTGCCGTTTGCCGCCGCCGCGCCGCCGTTTGCCACAGAGTCGGCCGGTGTTGCCGCCCTGGGAAAAAAGACAATAGCAAAGGTTATCAAAATGTTGAGGTTGTAAAAGCTTAGCTACACTCACTTGTGGCATTTTTGGCGAGGAATTGTAATCCAAACAAGGTGAGAATTACGGTGCAGCTTCTGTATTTTCAGGTAATGTAAAGGAATGTAAAAATAGGGAGCGAAAAGCACAAGGAGTCTACCAAAGATGATCGCAAATTAATGGTCAACATGATGCACAAAATACATTGATAGTAACAGGGAAAATGCTTTGCTAAAGTGAAGTACGCAAAGCGAAGCCTAACTTTTCATCGACGAGGACTGTGTTTTCCCTCATTCTGTCTAGGATATCGCTCAATGGCGAAACACATGCTCTAATTCCACGCCTACAGCTCATATTTCAAATAACAGACTCGTAGCGCACGAAGCATAGAATCATTGATCAACACTACCAAACAACTCACTCAACTGACCAAAAGGCAATAAATTAACTCGCGTTTAGACAAAACCATGCTCTAAAGACTAAACTGGAGAGTCAAATTTTTGTTTTGCCCGACTGTTATATTTATTTAACCTTTCCCTTTAATTTAATGAAATTGGTCTTTCTGACATGTAAATGTCATAAATGTAAATGAGATTATGTATATGTCCATATATACACATAAACAATACTAATTTTATGGATAATAATAACGATAATAACGATATAATAACGATATAATAATAATAATAATAATAATAATAACAATTAGACACACCAGTCGTGTCGCAAAACTAACAAAATAACTTGATCAGAAATGGTGGAACTGGAATAAAGCGAAAAACAACAGAGGATGCTGACGGTTTTGGGTTTTCCGGGCGCCAGGAATTTAGTCACCACCACCCATACACCAACATACCACAAGCATACGAATGATTCATTAGCCAGCAGGTTACTAGCAGTGGGTAGTGGCAGCCACACACACAACACTTTTGAACGCTTTCAAAATACCATATTTTCTATGCTTCCCACCGACATTTCTATGCGGACAAATAGACAACGCAAAACGCTTATCACCATTCTGAGCACGTGATGCACCGATTTCCATCCTAAATAACACCAGACTGAAACACCACGAAAAGCCTTATCACCCTCCAAAAATTTAATACGGGGATACACCGATTTCCATACCTAACAACACCAGACTGAGACACCACGAAATGCTCGATCCCCCTCCGAAATACGGGGATACGCCGATTTCAACGCCAGAGGAAAACCAGACTGAAACATCGCAAAAGGCCTCCGAAATCCGGGAGACACCGAGTTCCACCCTGAGGGAACGCCAGACTGGCACGCCGTAGACATTACACAACAACCGGATGCGGGCAGACAGGGTGCTGAAGGCCTGAATCGGCTAAAAGTCGCCGAGGCTGGCAGCGCGACATGCTGCAGAGCGCATGGGTGAAACTTTGACATTACCATTGGGGTCCCAAACGTCCAAGGGGGCCTCCATTTAGTGGGGGGGGCCTCCAAGCAATTAGGGGCCTCCAATCGTGGAAGCGGTAATTTACGAACCACGCCAGGGCCTCCTCTAAGAAATTTTCACTGGGGGGACCAAAGGCTCAGAAGCCAAACCCAGGGTACCCTCAAATCCAGTTTTCTCATCGGATTTAGGCCACTTATTTTTCGTCACAGCTCTGATGCCATGATTTAATTTTTCAATATCAATAAAGAAATGATAGGTCACCTGACCCTACTGGTGGTTCCAGGCCAGCAGGGTGACATTGTACGTAAATTTCCCCCGCGGCGTCCGAAATCGACGAAAATGTCTGGCTTTTTCACTTACGACAATAAAACAAAATACATTTATTATAAAAAAGAATTTAACTGCACAGCATTGCGCAAGGAACATAACCGACCCCAGAAAGTGTGAGGGCTTACCCTCGCCCGCACCTGGGGTGAGGGTTGCCACCCCCCAAGTTAGTTTTTTTTTGCTCTACACTGAACATTTTAAAAGCTAGAAACCTGATTTTTTGTATAGCCGTTTTTTTCTATCTTTTCTCAGCGTCCATTGGAAATTTCAAGTTTCTGTGGCTTTTGGGTTTGGAGATATAACCTTGTTCTTCAGGTCATGTCATGCCCTAAATGACGAATACCCAATGTCTTGCGTTGGCTTTGGGCCTTGTGAGATTTTGACACCCTGATTTCGTTTTTTTTTTTTGCCAGTCTTACCTCCCACCTATCATTGAACATGTTGTTCTGCGATGTAGGTACAGATGTCGGGGTCAGGGTCAAGGTCAACCTAGGTCATCTAAAATTGTTGCGTTTTAAGCAAGCTGAATTTACTTTTAGTGAAGTTTCTTTGACTGCATGTTTAGTAAAAGCTTCTCAGTTCATGATCTCATGTAATAGGCAGCGACACACAAACCAATCTGTGCACACACCAGTACATACACAGACATACACAGACATACAAACACATATCATTGACCTTGACCTAACTTGACGTGAAATGACCATAGCCAGCAAATTAATCGGATAGTGTGACAAAGAGCTGTTCTAGCTGGCTTGGCACTAATACGGCAGCGTCATCGGTATATGATGGGTTGGCCCGCTGCTTGTGTAGGTATTTTATTCGACATCATCACAATTTTTTCTTACAAGATTTTAAGCTTCGCGGTCAAGAGCAACAGATTCTTTGGAAAGAGACGAATCCAATGATTAAATGACCTAGGTTGACCTTGATCCTGACCCTGGCATCTCTACATCATCGAACAACATGTTCCATGATAGGTGGGAAGTAAGACTGGCAAAAAAGGCCGAAATCAAGGTGTCAAAAGCTCACAAGACCCATAGCCAACGCAAGATATCGGGTATTTGTCATTTGGGTTATGACATCACCTGAAGAATAAGGTCACATCTCCGAAACCAAAAACCACAGAAACTTGAAATTTTCAGTGAACACTAAGAAAGGAATTAGAGAAGCAGCTATACAAAACATCCGGCTTCTAGCAATCAAAATGTTAAGTGCAGAGCAGAAAAACTACCTGGGGTGGGGGTGGTAATCACTGCCCCCCTATGTGCGGGCGAGGATTAAATAATTTGAATATCAGGAAAATAATTTATTCAAACAGGTATTCCAATAGAGTCCCGCTTTTTATACGTGACCTCCGATTTGTGTAGCATCTAAGTTGCCCAGGGGGCCTCTTATTTGTAGGCACAGTACAGAGAGCCTCCTACTTCGACTACTTGCACAGAGAGCCTCCTTTTTGTACATGCAGCGAAGCTTCTACAGGTCGAGCGCCGGTCTTCTATTTGTACGTACAGAGAGCAGTCCCTCGTGTTACAGAGGGCCTCCTATTTGTCTAGGGGGCCTCCTATTGGTTAATGGCGCCTCCTATTTGTCCAAGGGCCTCCTATTCGTCTAGGGGGCCTCCTATTTGTCCAGGAGGCCTCCTGTTTGTCCAGAAGGTCCCCTATTTATCCAGGGGGCTTCTATTTTCCAGGGGGCCTCCTACGTGTTCAGGGGCCTCCTATTTGTCCAGGGGCCTCCGATTTATCCAGAGGTCGTCTATTCGACCAGGGGTCTCATATTTGTGCAGGGGTCTCCTACTTGTCCAGGGGCCTCCTTTTTTTGAAGGGCCTCCTTTTTATTAAGGGAGCCTTTTATTTGTCCAGGGGCCTGCTATTCGTACAGAGTGCTTCTAGCTCCTACTTGTCCATGGGGCCTCCTATTTGTTCAAGATGTCCCTATTTGTACAGGGGGCCTCCTATTTGTCCAAGGGGCCTGCTATTTTTTTTAGGGGGCCTCCTATTTGCCCAAGAGGCCTCCTATATATCCAGCGGGCCTCCTACTTGTTCAGGGGGCCTCCTATTTGTCCAGGGGGCCTCCTATTAGTTAAAGTAGCCTCTTGTTTTCCAAGCGGCCTCCTATTTATCCAGAGGGCTCCTATTCCTATTTTAGGGGGCCTCCTCATTATCCAGGGGGCCTCCTTCTTGTTCAGGGGGCCTCCTATTTATCCAGGGGCCTCCTATTTGTCCAGGGGGCCTCCTTTTGTGAAAGGGGCCTCCTATTTGTCCAGGGGCTCCTAATTGTCCAGGGGGCCTCCTTTTGTGAAAGTGGCCTCCTGTTTGTCTAGGTCTACGGCCTCCTATTTCTCCAGTGAGCCTCCCATTTTTCCAGGGGGCCTCCTTTTTGTACAGAGGGCCTCCTACTTGTCCATGGGGCCTCCTATTTGTTCAAGGGGCTTCTTATTTGTACAGAGGGCCTTCTATTTGTCCATGGGGCCTCCTATTTGTCTAGGGGCCTCTTATTTGTCTAGGGCCTCCTATTTGTCCAGGAGGCCTCCTGCTTGTCCAGAGAGCCTCCTATTTCTCCAGGGGGCCTCCTGTATTCCGGAGGACCTTCTACTTGTTCAGGGGGCCTCCTACTTGTTCAGGGGGCCTCCTATTTGTCCAGGGGGCCTCCGATTTGTCCAAGGGGCCTCCTATTTATAGAGAAACTTCTAGAGAACCTTCTATATGAACATCGGACCTCCGTTTGTAAAGTACCTGGTGCGTCTCGGGGGCCTCCACTATTGGGGTCCCAAAATGACAATTGGGGTCCCAAATGTTCGCTTTGGGGTCCCACATGGGACCTCAAAAGTATACAAAGTTACACCCATGGCAGAACGAGAGACACCAGGAGCTTATGGCCTGAGCCGGACACGACCATACCACTGGAAATGTCTTAGAATCGGATCACAGTGACGGTGGAAAAGTCAGGTAGTTGGGGCTTAGGAGCGTCTAATGCCCGTTCAGCGAGCTACACGTATGCCTCTGAGACGGAAGATTAAAATGTCAATACATAAAATGGTAGGAAAGGTGAACAGAAAATGTATGTCACAAGAAACACAGCACGTCGCGGGAAAGCTGTTGATACAGGCGAAGGCGCCTTGTGTTAAACTTTCAGCTCAAAAGATCCCTACTTGATTATTAATGAAATGCCTCTAAGTCCGTTCCATTACACAGCGTTCTTTTCCCAAAGGTCAAAGAGGATGCACCTGGGCGCATTCACACCCCCCCCCCTCTCCAACTAACCTGTTTTCTTGCTCATCAAAGAAGACGCTGTTGCCCACTTTCCGCCCCGCCCCGCTGTCGGCGGGGGCGGGGGCGGGGCGGGGCCGCTTGGCCGGCCTCCCGACGTCTTCACCGAGCGCCCGTTTTTCCGGGCGAGACGTCAGTGTCTTCAGCTTGCGCGAGATCTTGCTGAGGATATGCCGCGGCCCGTCTGGGGAGTCGACGCTCCCAGCCCTGGAAGAGGGATGGGTGGGTCAGATGGGTGACGGGGGAGGGGAGGGGGCGCAGAGGGGAGAGATGTAGAGGATGGGGAGAGAGCAGACAGGGGACAGAGTAGAGGAAGAAGGGAAAAGCAGAGAGGTAGAGAAGAAGAGAAGAAATAGTGGAGGAATAGAACGAAGACAAAAGACGAACAAATAAGAGTGATAGATAGGATACAGAGATGGAAGCGTGGGGGAGCCAGTGTCAAAGACGCACAAGCCACCATGTACTATTAGGCAATTAAAATAAGCAATAGGAGCTTTCAAAATTCGGTAATTAAAGGGACGTTGGAATGGCAGAATTCAAGATGCTCAAGAAAATTACATTACGTTGAGGAAAAACAGAACATTAAGGAATGACAATTAGGCGGCGCATCGAAACGCCAGAAGACTATTGTCCAGAACGCAGCGATATCAGATGACGACCAAATCATTATCGGCGAAAATGACGTCAATACTCGCTCGATGCCAACACAACTAATGACAGCATTCGATACCCTCCTCTTCTTGCCGACTTTTGAAGATGCTCTTTTGTTACGGATACATCTGATTGAACACAGAGAGCAAGGGATTTATATTTCACGCCACCTACCACTGTGCAACAAAAGCGGTCTGACGTTCATTCAGGACATCTCCACACCTCATTCAGACCATCAGCCCACCCTATTCACACCATTTTTTACCCAGCAACCACTGCACTGCTGTGCGGGCATCGCCCGAAGTTGCAGGATCTCATCTCTGCCTGGCAACGGCGCCCAGAAAAGTCCCAAGCAGCGCCGCGCGAATTCTATAGAGGCGCGGAGGCGGCGGAAAACCATGAAACCCTATCGCCTGCTACAGCTACTGCGAACCCGCCGTGAGCCACACATCAATATCGGCCGCCTCAACGCACGAGCGCCTCCCAATAGAGGCGAGAATGCCGTGAGAAATGGGCCAATCATACTCTCTATTGCCTCCCTGCATCGCAACATTGGCCGATTAATATAAAAAAACGTCAATATGCAAAATAAATTTGGGCACATCTGAAGTCAATGAGTGTTTGGCAAAAAAATTCAGTGCAGCCTCACACAAACATCGAAAAGTCAACGAAGTGAAAATAGTGCAGTTGATGCTAAGAAGTATTCATCCAGACCAACGTAAAATATCAGGCAAAAACCCAACAATTTTAACACATCGCGTAGCCAATTGTCAGGCGAAACTTATCGCCACCATTTCTGAAACACACACCCGCGCCTCGTCTGCGCAAAACAAGACATCCACCCGTGTCATCCCCAATCCGCTATGTCATTCGTTCACCCCTCTCCGAATCACTTTATCCAGTGCCGTGGCCTAGTTCCCCGAGCTGACGTCTCGCTGCCAATGTTATCGACAGACTCAAGGCGAAAGCAGGCTCTGGCAGAAAGACGGCCGGGACGGGCAAAACAAAGTGCTACCGGTTGTTTGTTCAGCGCCGAATTACGTACGAAATGGAGCGGCGACGGCCCGCCCCCGTGCGGCTCTGTTGTTGCCGCTAATAAGAACGGTCCTTTACACTATGTAGCGGCTACTGGGGAGACGGACGGGATGGCGATTGAACAGAAAAAAAAACAGACAAACACGCTGGCTAAGGATGTTTAATCATTATTAAAGCGATGATTATTGACTTTTTCATCCATTAATATTTTATTATACGAAAACGATCACATAAAATTAGCTTTCTTACAACTATTGGTTCAAAATATGTAAGTGAAGAAAATCTGCTGAATTTCATGCTTGGCGCGAAAGTTATGATATGTTTAGCAATGGGTCAAAACTAAACGCTGCAAAGCCATAACAATAGACGGATTTTTCCATTACCCTCAAACACGTCCAAAATACACGTGCATAATAAATAATACGATACAATATTTAAAAAAGGAATATGTTCTACAAGCAAATAACTAAGGGTGTGTATACTCTTAATCATTTCCTAGAGGGCAATCTCAGTTCTTATATAACCACTCAGTACTGGATTAATCTATGACTGGAGGCATCTGTCTGTATCGTCATCGACATCGGTTGTCGCTAAAGAAGACCTTTTCAGCAGAACAAATAGCAATCAAATGCAGCTCAACTGCGTCTTAGTCCTCGTAAAACCCTACCCAATGACGCAGAGTGGGATGCTCAGCCCGGAGCCGGAACAGGCAAAAATCAATCTCATTCTGACCCATAAGGGATTGTTCCGAGGCTGAGGGAGGACCATGCAAATAGTGCAAAAATAGACATAAAACTTCGATTAGACGCAAGGCGTCACTTGCGACGTTACCTTATGATCGGATGCTCTCTACAAACTCTAAGCTCTTTACAAGCTTTCTGCATGCTCTAAAATTAAATATTCTAGTTGATTATACGTAGCTGGACCTCTGTATTTATAACGATGAACGTAAAAGTGTAAGAAAGACGTGAAGCAAGAACACCTAACCGCCATTTACCTCTTACTTCATGTTCACAAGCATGGCAATACAAATATTTGCATATAAAAATAAATTACTTATTTGAATGTAGTAATGCGTTCCACAGCAAAAATATCGATTTTCAAATGCATATACAATAAAAAGAGCAAAAGATGAGCTAGGACACACGACCTAAAGCGTCTAAAAGCCCACCAATCCGCTCAAGAGCAGTGTCTCCAACCGACCTAACCTGACCTGAACCCGTCCACCTGATCACCTGCGTATAGGCGGAGGCGAGGGGCGCACCTCTGACCTCGGGTCAAAGGTGTCACTCTGCGGTGACCTGGCGGGTAACGGGGTGACCTTCCAGCCGGGCGGGGTGGGGTCCGCCTTCAGGGGCACCGCCGGGCCGCCCTCCTGTGGACGGGAACAAAATACGTCTCAGAGTTATACTTTGTTATACTCAGCCCAACTTAGTTATATACTTAGTTATACTGAGCCCAACCGGACGTTTGCTGGAAGGGCGGTCAGTCATATCGATAGACTATGAGAAAGGTGACGACGAAAAGACATGTGAATATGCACAGCATAAAGGAGAGACAACGTTCAAAAAGTACATTATGGTGCTCAAAGTTGATTTATGACACATTTCTTCAATTCACACTTCGATAAACAATCCCGTTAAGCTAAGAGCCCAAACACAATTAATCAACTTGATTGATACATTGAGGCGCATAGATAGCATCCAAAAGGAGATCGGAAATGACTTCGTCATAAGTAAATCAAATCAAATCCACCATTCTCACTTCATCCTCCTCCTTCATCTTCCTCTCCTCTCTCTCTCTCTCTCTCTCTCTCTCTCTCTCTCTCTCTCTCTCTCTCTCTCTCTCTCTCTCTCTCTCCCTCCCTCTTCTTCTCTCCCTCCCTCTTCCTCTCCCCCTCCCTCTTCCTCTCCCCCTCCCTCACCTCTCCTCTCCTCTCCTCTCCCCTCCCCTCACCCTCTTTCTCTTTTCCTCTCCTCTCCTCTCCTCTCCTCTCTCTCTCTCTCTCTCTCTCTCTCTCTCTCTCTCTCTCCCTCTCTCTCCTCCCCTCTCTCACCTTCTCCGTAACGAGCCAGGGGCTGGTGCATCCCACACTCCCGTGGCTGGTCGCACTCTCCTCACTGTGTAGAGACGGCGAGCCCGGCACCGCGGGCACCTCTTTCACCAGCCAGGGTGAGGTGGCCGCTGGCGCCCGGGGCTGCCGCTCTCCCAGAACACGTGCAGGAGTCGCCGGGGAGGGCACAGCAGCCGGCTTCTTCACTGCCGCTCCTGAGCCTGCTGGTGTTCCTGTGGTCGCCGTCAACCCCTTAGCTGTTGAACCAGCTGACGAAGCCGCCGGAGGCGCAGGAGCTGAGGAGGTCGCAGAGCCCTTGGCAGGACCGGCGGCGCGGTTCTCAGAGTCCGAGTCGTCCGAAGCCGAGTCGCCGGTGCCATACGGCACCAGAGGCGCTGCTTTGGTGGCACCACCGCCGGCGGCGGCGGCTGGGGCGGGGGCGGGGGCGGGGGCGGCAGGCGCGGTGGCCGCCCGACCCAGCACAGCCGACTTGTTGCCAGGAAGAGGGCGCTTCACCACGATGGCCGGTGACGTCATCGTGAACGAGATCCGAGACCTGCCGAAGAAGAGGGCGACAGTCAGGTTGACGGTGAAGTTGAGGTAGAAGGTGACGGCAAGGCTGAAGATGATGTTCCTGTTTGGCGTAGTTGTAAAGGACAGCGTCGCGTTGGTCAGTCTAGGAGGAAATTGAAGTTCCTGAATTCACTGTCAGTAGACGAACCAGAGTACGTTCCTACCGGTAGCAGATTCATCAAACGTGTGTGTCTCGTCTTCCAGCAGCAGATTCAGAAGATTACAGATCTATTACTGAAAGTATTCTGAGCAAATTTCACCAGCCCTGACAAGGTGTGACCTAAGCATGGGGGGGGGGGGTAGCACTGGCGGATCCAGACTTGCGTTTTGGGGGGGCCAACTCCTGCAAGTAACCAAACCTAGGGTACCCCCAAATCCTGTTTTCTCATCGGATTTAGGCCACTTATTTTTTCGTCACAGCCCTGAAACGATATTTTTTTTTAAACTAAAAATAAAAAAATAGAAATGGTAGCCCACCCAACCCGAGCCTAAATATTACTTTGAAAACACTTCAAATTGCTTTTGTCGACCAATTAGCCCGCTCCGGGTCGGTGCGTGGCGCAGCCTTCGCGGGCTGGGAGGTGTCGGTTGGACCCCCTGCCGTTCGGCCCCTGATTAAGCTAGAGCTCGCGGAAAAAAAAAACAGGCGTGTTGCCCGTGAGTGACGAGACGAAGCCGATGATACCCGATTTTAAGGTCCTTGGTCATTGGTTGACCTTCCAGGGCGGTGTTTCACGGTCGTGCTGACAGCCGCTGACAGCGCATTCCGCGAGCTAAGGTCAGCCTTCGGTAGTGTTGTGGGTATTGGCTTGTTGATGTCTCCATTGAAACCAAAAGTGCCATCAGCGCTGGCAGCGGCTGGCAGCGTGCCGTGAAACACCGCCCAGGTCAGGTCACAGACCCAAAAGACGGGAAAATCAGGACCTGTCAGAACCTCCTAAAGTAAGGCTGTAATACGTTTTTTTTTGTGCTGATCACAAATTTCATGTTAGTTTGGATCATAGATAATGTCTTCAGCGTTTAGACCATGTCGGGGCAGGTCAGGTCAGATCAACCAGTAGGAGTACTTATGGGCGTCCGTATAGCAGGTGTCCACTACCACTGGCAGCTACGTAACATGAGACGAAGGCATCAAAACTACTTCGTAAATGTTCAAATGGTTGCAAAATGGTAAATTCAAAATCAGCTAAACGAAACTATCCTAGAAACATGTTAAACTCGGAAAAGTGCACCGAGGTCATCAAAGGTCAATGACCTGACTTGACCGTAAGGTGACATTGGCATCCGCCCTAATGCGTGGGAGCAACATCATATCACATGTTTGAGCGTTTTAAACCACGAAAAGACTATAAAAGCGCGGATAATATGAGCCGACATACGCCGAATCGCTATTCCGGCCAAACATGGCCTCCAACATTGCCAAACAGTCTCGAGAAATAGGCCACAAGTCAAAGTTCACTTGGGTCAGGGTCATGAAATTTTCAGACTTTGTCACCATGAGGGTACTAAAGTTTCGTCGCGATCGGCTTCATGATACCTTACACGATAACTTCACACGTCGATCGAGAGTTAAAGGGACTATCCCACCTTTAACATGGGGTTTGAGTTGAGATAGCCAAGTTTGCGGCGAGGTTCAGAAACCACTATCTATCTAGGTTGCAACCCCCGCGGCCTCTTGGTGTTGAAGAAATTCGTTCCCTTCATTTGAAAATGGGCCTTGTACAAGGCCCTATCTTCAACATGGAGCGACCGTTAGTGTGACGTCACCTCGTTTAGTCATTCTGATTTAAACGGGTTTGTTCGTTGACAAATCGCTTAAAACTTGGTCTGAACTTTGTTGTGGTGCCTACAGAGTAAAAAGAATCAGCTTTATGACAGTAATGTGGCCTGGGGAAGGAGGTAATTTTGGGCTGTGACGTCACATATTTGAAAGTTTGTGTTTGGAATATGGGAAGCTTAAGATGTTTAATGAAAAATAAATGCCAGAACCGTGTTCCTGGTCATCCAATCTATAAAGTCGGGCACAATTTAACTGGTTTTAACAACATTTTAGAAGGTGGGATAGTCCCTTTAAAGCATGGATGAAGGAGAACCAGGGGATGAAGGTTCTTTCATCCATGGTTAAAGTGTGCAATAAGAACTTCTTGGGTGAAGACAAGACCAACACTTTTATCAAGCTCACAGATTTTTAATGATACGGTATTTTCTCTCTACCTACTACGCCCTTCTCACATTCATTTTTCTTAAGTGTTTTTGGGGACAAAAAATATATGTTGTTCCCCTTTCAGGCTTGGGGGCATGACCCCGTGGCCCCCCTGGATCCGCTAGGCCGAAACTAACTAGGTCGTTTTCAAACGGTCTGATATTTCAGGTCATAGTTTGCAAACGGCCGGTGTTTTCAGGTAGTTTCATATGGCCTGACTGGGCCAGGCCGTTTGCAAACGGACCGAATTTTCATACGGCCTGTAACATATATTCAGATTTCGACATCTGTCGTAGCATCAAATGCTGATGTGGCGCACTCAAAAGCCGGAATTGGTCCTTGGGTGCCGTAAGGACCCTTTTAAGAAATAAGTGACCCGACTGACCCTTAGAGATTGGCCTGAGCTGTGACCGAAATAAGTCTTTTACCGTTTCGCAGGAAGGGACAAAAAGGTCCCTCATATGCTTCTTGTACAATTACGAAACAAAACAAGTTTTTTTTTTCAACGAAAACTCAGTGAGTTTTCCTAAAAAATTTATTGCGCATATTCCGTGAATGAAAAGTTGCCGGGTCATGTCAGGTCAGGCTGCCACAGCAAGTTTGTTAACTTGACAGCTCAATCGATATTTATGCAATAAGACCTTCTCGGGTGACGATAAGACATGACGACACTTTATGAAGGAAGCTAGTAAACCCGGTAGTTTCTCCATAGGCGCGGGAACCGGGGGGAGGGGGCAGTGGTGGCAGCTTGCCCCCCCCCCCCAACTCTGGGGCCGTGCGGGCGGTGCCCCCACAACTTTCAGACAGAATACCGCTCCTTTTTGTAAATGTTTTCTTTTTTTTTTGTTGAAAAAGCCAAGGGATGAAAAATAAGTGGCCTAAAACCGGCGAGAAAACTATATTTGGGGGATCCTAGGTTGATCTCTATCATGGTGTGACCTCCCCCCCCCCCCGTCTAAAAGTAGTTCCCGCGCCCCTGGGTTTCTCTACGCTATTGAATCACGCTGCTGATTCTAGTAACTATCTACTACACAACCTTCTCACATTAATTTTTCTTCGAGCGTTTTGGGGGGCCAAAAGATATGTTGGCCCCCTCTTTCAGGCTTTTTGGGCCCATGGCCCCGGTGGCCCCCTTGAATCCGCCAGTGGGGGCGGTGCCCCCACAACTTTCAAACGGAATACCGTCCTTTTTTGCAACTGTTTCTTTTTTTGTTGAAAAAGCCAAGGGATGAAAAATAAGTGGCCTAAAACCGGTGAGAAAACTAGATTTGGGGGGACCCTAGGTTGATCTCTATTATGGTGTGCTCCCCCAGTCTGAAAGTAGTTCCCGCGCCCCTGACTTTCTCTACGCTATTGAATCACGCTGCTGATTCTAGTAGGTATCTACTACGCAACCTTCTCACATTAATTTTTCTCCAAGCGTTTTGGGGGGGGGGCCAAAAGATATGTTGGCCCCCCCTTTCAGGCTTTTGGGGGGGGGGGCCATGGCCCCGGTGGCCCCCCCTGGATCCGCCAGTGGGGGGTAGCAAGATCTTTAAAACCGCAGCTACTGATGTGTCCTGCGCGCCAGCACCTGTCCTAAAATCCTAAATTAGAGCTGAATCTGACCAACGAATCTGGCGTCGACCGAATCTGAATCTCGCTTCCACACCAAGGCAGGCGACCTTGCACCCGTTGCTGTTGCGAGGATCAATGTTGAATGTCCGCAGGCAGGCTGAAGCGGGACTGGGACGTCGCTGATTCCGGCACGGTATGTACAGTCCACAGCAGAAGTAAAGTGTGGTTTCAGTCATGGATATGTTCAGCTTCTGAAGCCTAGGAACGATCAGCCAGACTGCAACGAGACTTTAAATATAGCTTACATGTATCTTCGCCCTTGCAGCTACAACTTTATCTATTGACGTCTTCTTTTCAATCAGTCCGCATTTAAAAATCGTCGGTCAAAGCCATCCGTTGAGATTGGTAAAACCACACATTACTTTAGCGGTGGGCTGTAGTTACTTAGTAGCATGTACTTAGCGAAAAACGGCTGCCGCCTCCGGCTAAAGCTGAAAGAAGTGGCTGATACACACAACAAATGGTCTATTTCGGGCTAGATACGCCAAAACGAGAGCAGCTCCAACCCCTAGAGGCTGGCAAGTGTTTAGAAAACCGGAAACGGTGCTGTTGAGACAACAGAAAATGCATCAGGCAAATACAAATTTGATTAAAAAAGATGTGGTGTTGTGGAAAAAAAAACGTTGGACAAAAGCTTATAAAACTAGCACAGCGCGCTGGCATATTGCTCTAGTAAAGTGATATTGGATAATCAGTTTCGACATTGGAAACGACAATGGGACCAGAAAGGTGGAATTCTGCGTATCGCTTTGTTCTAGTTAAGCAGACTGTTGGTTGACTAGCAAAATCAAACCCAATCCAGCATTCAAATGCGAACCGAGAGATTACCTGCGTCAACAGGAGGAATCCGACTAAATTGTTTATCTGCAATGCGATGAAATATGACGTGAATGTGGAAATTAGTTACACACCTCTCTATTTATTCAAGGCGCTTGGTTCAACGCATGTCATAACCGCTGAGTGCAGCGAATCTGTTTTGCGACATTTAACAACAAAATTACTCAATAATAGATCCATATTCAGAGCATCAACTCATTACCTTCAGTCGCGCTTCATACAGCGAAGCTATCTGCCTACACACACACAGCCAGAGCTCAGCAAAGATCTATCCCAGATGTGCCACGAGCCAGAGAAATGCAATCACTCGCGCGGGACAGGCTTCC